GAGAGAGAGAGAGGACACCATCGACAGCATGATTCCGCTGCCATCGATTCATTAGCGGCAGTAACACTCAGCACCACGATACTCTTGTCGTGCGTATGCACATCTTGGTCCATTTCATAGTTTAGGCATGATAAGATCAATGTTCTGCATGAAGGAAAAATAAATGTAATGGGTGATTCAAATGTCAGGTTTAATTAGAATGAGAATATCGACAACACACATAAAGAATACAACTATGCACTCACCGGTCTTTGTTCTTGCAAGTCACATTATGTACAAGAACACCAAACTTTACAAACCAAACATCTACCCAGACAAGTAAACATGAGACACACACACATAGAACAACAGGATTAGAGCACCGAATAGGGTAAATGTTGCCTTCAGTTTTCATCTTTGTAGGCATTCAAATTTTTTTATGCTCCGAAACAGCCAAGAAGCTTCTTCGGCGCAAGCCCTGTGGCACGATATTTCGCAGCAACCTCATCTGCCTTCAGAAGCTCTTCACCACGCCTTGCCTCAATCATTGCTCTCTTCTCTTCTGCCTCTTTATGAAGCAAGGCAACCTTGTTCTTCATCTTCTCTGCATATTCTGCCTTTCTCTTTTCCAGTTCTTCCTGCACATCCATCACCAAACGATGGCGAAAGCATCTTAATCAGAGTTAATGAAATCATGGAACTGCATGAATGAAATATGCCAATTTTTATTCTCATTTGGCAAAATAAAGTTCGAGTAAGCTGTATTCAGTGATTTGTCTTTCCTAACTATTTCCAATGCTATTCTAAGGCATCATAAAACACAAATCTTTTTTAACTTATCTCTCCTTAAAGTGGAACGTTATTGCACCTTAGAAAAATATACCATATACATATAAGGAAATATACAACTTGGGTAGCTCAGCATGTGAAAGAAGTAGAATACCTCTTTCCTACGCAGCTCAGCTTCCACAGCTGCTTTTTTGGTGTTCTCCCATGCCAAAATAGATGACAACTTCTTGACAGCTCTGTTTAACAATGCCAGGAAATCATGCCAAATCAACCACATTAGAGTGTCATATGAACTAACCACAATGTATAAGAAAGCTAACCAACCCTCAATGACATTGACAGCCTTGATGCATGAGTTCTTATGCAACTGAACAGGGTCATGACAGCCGTTACATGTATACTTTAACCCCAGTATGTTGCATGAATGACTAAAGTTTTTAAGGAAATGTTTCACCATTCAGAAGCCACTAACCTCTTTGTTCAATTCCAAGCATCATAAGAACCAGAAAAATGAGTTTAAAGAATAAGGAGAAAACTCTAAATGTCATATTCACAAGACACAATGTTGAATAATATAGATGACAAAGTTTATATTAATTTAGTTAACCCAGAGAAAGAAGTTTGCTTAATTAATCAATGATATAGATTAACATGAAAAAGATTCATGAAGCAAACATACAGGAAATTTGCAGCAACTAATATACATGACTAGACATTAAAAAAGAAAATCTTACAAAGTATACTTACTCCAATACAGGTCACAATATTAATTAATATCCAGTGATATCTGCTACTACTATTACTTACTTATTTTCTGCCTTCGTCTTTTCATTTTCCTCCCAAGCCTTGATTAAAGACAACCTTTTCTCAGTTTCAAGCCTTGCAAGAACTGCATCTGCAATAGTAACATTAAATGTGAACATCCACTTCCCTCAAGCCTTATTTTATAAGATAATATCGAATTAAATTAAACATTTCTAAGTAATTACCTCTTTCGGTTGAGCCCCCTGAGCTTTTTTCTGCGGGTGGATCCTCAACTTCTGGAGACAAAGGAAATGTTAAAAGGATATAAAAGAGCAATACGAACATTCATTTATGTTTTTTGATCTATTATAATATAAGAGACGTGCTTGGATCATCTTTTGATGTCCAGCAAGAAGTATGTTAGACCACCCTACTTGAGAAATAATCTAATGGTAAAGACAGCACAATGGTGGTCATTAGGCAGAGCTAAAGACATGATAAGGTAAACCATTTCCCTCCTTATTTACACTACTAAATGCATCAACGTGAGTTCTACCACATTCTTAAAAGCAAACTACCTTATCATCACATAATTCATAGAATCAGATGATGATACTCTTAAAGAATATGTGAAACAACTTCTAACATGTTCTGAACTCCCTCTCAGATAGTCTCCCAAAAGACTGAGGAAGAAAAGCAATAACTACAATAATAATGAAGTAATGTTACTTAATTCGTTTTATTTTACTATTTCAATAAAAAACAGTAGATGTACAAATCTAGCCTCCATTCAAACTATGTTACGGTGGGTTGATAAGTGATTCGTAAACCATGGAATGATGGACTAGAAAAGAAACTATAGATAAATCACTGAACAAAATCATGCATTATTGTAGGTGTAACCAGAATAACTAAAAAAATATATGGAATTCTCAGAGAATAGTGTGCAGAAAAAGCAAACACTTTGAAACACAGGAAATATTAAGGAAGATGCAGCTATAATCCTCAGACTTCCTTCAGGCTATGAATTAATAAAGCATGGTTAGTTGATTTTTTCATTTTCCATCACAAGGAAAAAATTAATAGGAAGCCACAACAAAAAAAAAACTATTCCTTTTTACCGTACTTGATATAGAGAATAGAGAACCGGCGGTGCACAAGAGAAAACCAAAATGTACAGCAAGAATAATACTGAACCAAGTGTGTGCTTATCTATAATAGAGAGAGAGAGAGAGAGAGAGAGAGAGAGAGAGAGAGATGATGACGACGACGACGACGACGTACCTTAAG